TTTTATATTTGATTTAATAATTTAGTAAAATATTATTAAAATCAAATTCATATAAATGCAACTAATATTAATAATTGTAATTTAAGCAGTAAATTCATTAACCAAATCGTGTAAATTCTATGCTTAAATTATGTAATTTCTGTGATCAAATCAATATAAATTCGGCATAAATTATGGTCAAATCATGCAAAATGATACATTTTTGTGATATGGAATTGTGCATTTTTCCGTATCCCTATATAGATTAGAAACATTATTTTTAAGAAAAAATTGTATAAAACCTTATTAAAAACATGATTTTTTATAGGTTTAATTATAATAAAATTTTATTATTTGGTAATATTTTACATACAATTCAATTTATTTATATCAAAAAATTTTTTTAATTATAAATGTTATGTTTGGGGGACGAAGTCCCCTGGCAAATCGCATATTCTAGTTTATAAAATATGAATCATCTTAGGAATATAAAATGCCAACTGAAATTTTTTTCAGTCAAGCAAGAAACAATAAAAATAATATTCTAATATTTTTATTATTAAAATAAGTAATCCTAAATAGCTCATTAACCACAAAAAAAAACAATGATTTATATACTGTATATACTATTTTTTAATTGTCTTACATATATACTGTAACTTTCATTTTAGATTTGATAAATGAAAACTTCTAATAATAACTGCGACATTTAAATCCAAATTACAAAAAAAAAAGTTTGACTGGATTAATCAATAGCTTTTTATTTATTAACATCAGCAAGATCGTTTACTTTGATATTAATAAATTGAATAGTTCATTTAATTCCATATAATTACTTTTGTAATGCTTTTGCATAAAACTTAACATATTTTTCTCCGCTTCTTTATTAGTGTTATTTATTTATGAACGTATTACTTTATTATGACTAATTATATATTTTGTAATTAGTAAAACAATAAAAAACATAATATAATAGAAGTATTGTATCATATACTTTTAATAAAAGAAAAATCTTTAGATTCTATTACTCCTCAAGATACACACTGTATTCTATATACAATATTTCTTTAATGAATATTTTTTTTTCTACGCTCATATACTTTTTGATTCATACAATAAAATGAAAAAAAATTTTAATTTTTTTTAAAAAAGTTCAATTATGGTAACATATTTCTAATAATACGTAGCATCATGATACTTATGATTAATAAAATAATAAAATATTATCTGTATAAATATTTTCCTTCTCTAATTGCATGTCGGTCAACGCTGTTTCTATCAGTATTTCTAGTAGATCTCCTTCCTAAATCTAATTCGAATACTTAAAACTTAATGTATAACCCGCTAATGATCGAATAACATAGACATTATCATAACTAAGAAATTGATGATTTAACAGAAGATGCATTCTATGCTCGTTTCAACTGATGAAATATAATCTAATATGCGAGTTTAATAAGAGTCTAAGTATGCAGAAATAATAAAATGCTGATTTTTTTGATACTTATTATTCCTTTTCCGTCTGTTCTGTTTTAATTTGTATTTAATAATATATACACTAACTTAATCTTGTGCTTCTTCGACTTTCCCAGCGTAACCACGAAAAAATATCACGAAAATTCACGTGATTATTTCATCACCTTGTCTCCATTTTTCATAAATTTTTATTTAGTGGAAAAAATCCTATTCGTCACATACTATGTCAAGTGAGGGTAGTCGCATGACTTTTGCTGCGCCACTCGTAGCGAACAACAATCTCTCCAAAAAATACTGATCGAAAAATTCCTTTAACTCCTTAACGGCCAGAAAGAAGGCGGAAAAATTTTTTAAACGTACGATATTGTCCCCCTTCTTTTTGTAGCTCATTAATGACCAAACTTTATGCGTAAAGAACCTGTCAAAAGCAAAGTTTAGTTGGAAAGCTTAATAAGCTTACGAAGGCAACATTTCTATACTGGTTTCACCGAAAAAACCCTCTTCTGTCTTTTGTTTTCGTCCTGTAAAATTTTTGGACATATTTATAAAGCCTTCAGGCGTACAATTATATCGATGACTTAAAGCTTTATGCACGTAATTCTTAATCGAAATATTTAATACATATTAAGAATTCTTACCATGACTGCGCTTTACCAATACAAAAAGGTGTAAATTATCCGAGTAAAAAAGTTTGATACCAACATGTCCACACACACTAATAATTTTTACCAGATTCTTACGACCCACATACAAAAATATATTATTGGACAAAATTGTCCCATAATACATAAAGTTTTATTGTTACAAATAAATAAATAAATAAATAAATAAAATATCGCAGTTACATACTGCGGACAAATAAAAAAAAATTAAGTGCTAGAGAAGATAAGAATAAAGAATGATTTTGGGATTCTGAACCACCAAAACTTAATAACATTAATGACACCTAATTAGCTTAAATCGATATGAAACGAAAAATGATAATTTTTTTGTGCCTTCTATCTATTCTTGAGTTTTTTCGTTGCCGTAATAGAATTTCTTTGCGAATTACTTCTCTCTTTATATTCTTCTGTTTGTTTTACTGATATGGTCTTATTTTTTAAAAAATAAAGCTTTTGCTTTCAGAAGTAATATCACGAGTTTCCGTTTACTCTTTCCTTTTTTTTTTTGTTTTTGTTTTAAAGTTCTAATAAATTTCATCAAGTAATTTTTTCTTTGTTTTTTGTCTTCGTGGTTTTCTATTCGTTGTAATACTTCTTCGAATAAATCTGTTGCGTCGCTTATAACGCTTCCCATTGTTGCTATTGTTTCTTTAGAGATATTATCTTGTTTATACATACTCATATTTGCTTATTCTTTTTTTGTGACTTTGTCAATTTTGCTATTGTTTATATAGACGAAAGGTGTTGCTTTTGTAACAAATGATAAGATAATGAAAGTTACATGAACTTGTCAGACCTTCTTATCGGATAGTTTAATAAAACCTTTTTGGACTTGTACCACTTCATTATCTTAGAAGAGCTGCATCATGTGATAGTCGCCAAATTATAAAAATCCAACATAATTCAAGCATTCTAGCCAGAATTTATAACATATAATATAATGTAATTTAAAAGTTATATCTTTGAAAATAAAAAAATTACACTTTATATTATGCGACAAATAAACAGACAAGGATATATATCCTAGTGTTAAATGATATGTTCACGATCCGATCATCTGGTGAAATGTTACTTGTCGGTTAAATGATCGTCAAATAAATTCGATTTGTCGAAGGTCGGTCCCGAATTTCGATTACCTCATAATAATGAGTAACTCAAATGATAACTACATTAGAATAAATACGTCATTACGACTTACATTTTAAAATTTCACTGCCAATCATTGTTTTAGGTTGTGATAAAAATATTTGTAATATTAAAGTAATATAAACACCAATTTTTTTTAAGCCCTCAATGTTAATAAACTTTTTACTTTACATTTTTCTCAAGGATGGCATTTCCAACAATTTACAGTATGCAGCTTTACAAACTAAAACATCACCACATCATGGACGTATTAGTGACGTATTCTTTTCATATAATCTTCTTATTGTCATTATCATGTTAACATTCATTTTTCTCATAATAAAATTTTATTCTTTAAGCTAAAAACGCAAACTGCGTGTATGATGGCAAAATTGGAGCATTTCATATAGTTCCTAAGATCAGTATTATTGAACGCAAAGGTGATATAGTTATTTAATTAAAAATATGATTCAAGACTTGATGCAACTAAAAGTTCTCGAGTTGAAATATGAAATCACAAAAAAAAGCTTATATTAAACAAAACAAAGAAATATGATCGATTTTGAAATCAGCATCGCGTTCATTTTATATCTATCATGTAATGAAAAATCATTTCAGTTCTGTAAAGATTATTTTTCTTTTTCATAATAATGCTAATTTACGAAATATATTATCTTATATATAAACCATAAATAAACTTGGAACTGTATACAACATTAATATGAAAATAAGCATCATGATAGCGGACGAAAATGTATGGTTAACTGATACTTAAAAATAATTAATTTATAATGAGTGTTTGTTTAGAATACTTTTGATTTATATATTTTACTTTGAAATACCGTAGTTATATAAATATTGATATCTCACAAAAACATAATATTTAAAATTATTTGTGGTCTTTTAATTTTTTCAATTTATTAAACTAGTATTAAACTTCAAACTAATATATTTAATATAAAGTTTCCTTCAATAGGGATTATAATATGGAATACAATTATATGTAACGAAATATATTTTGACAAATTTTATGACTCACACGAGCTAGACTATGATACCTTCTAAAAGGAAATTTAAATTTTTCCAAAACATTTTCCGATAAACCTGTTTTTTCTATTGCATTTTCAATATTTATAAATGGCCTCTTTGATAAGATTTTTTCTGTATTTTGGATACCAATAGCTCTTATTTGTTGAAGACTTTTACGATTTGTTGTATTAATATCAAGAGGTGTAGCAAATATAAATGCTCTATTTGCAAATGGTCCAAAGTATTTATTCCAATTTTTTTTATCAACAATTCCTGAATTTTCTGGGAGTTCAAGCTTATCACAATCTTTGGTTGTATAGAGCATTAAAAAATCGTGCGTTGATGCAACTTTATTTCGTTCATTTAGGTAAACTTTTTGATTAACTTCTTTATCATTCCAGAATTTGTATTGATGAACTTCATTAGAAATTAAGGGAAAATATTTTTTCCTTTCATTTACTTTTTCTTTATTTTTCTCTAAATCCAAACTAATAAAAGAGTCACCATATTGTGCAGATGCATGATTAACAATACAATATCTGCCTTGTCGAATATTAATAATTTCATTTCCACATAAAATATTTACATTAGAATTTTCAGAATTTGTAGGTTCTTGAAAATCAGGAATTCTCAATTTTAGATGATGATTTACAAATTCAATATCTCCATTCAATCGTGCTCCTGAATGAACTTCAGAAATTTTCGTTAACTCGCCTTCTTTTATAATCCGTGACTTTAAACAACGAATGGTTGCAATAAATTGTTCAAAATTTCGCGAACTTTGAGACTCTAATGATAATAATGATTTTTGTTCTTTATAATCATCAAATTGCCATTTTTGAAGTAACTCATCAATACCAATTTGTTGTGCTAATATCCAAATCCAGTTATATGGTGCAACGAGATATCCTGTTTTGGAATTAACAATAGTACCTTCTCTTTCAAATTGAACAAGTCCATGTTGAACAATTTGTTCTGGAGTTTTATTTATTCCAGGAATATTCTTGTCAAAATCTAAAGGTTGACGTAATAATATTGCTTTTGCAATAGTCTGAATTTCAGCATTGGAAAGACTAAAAACATCAATATATCTATTAGTTAATGCATTACGCAAATCATTCATTAGTAAGTTAATGTTGTCTTCACTAACATCATGATGATTTATTAAAGTTTCTTGTAAAGTTTCAAGAGCTCTCCCATGTCCTCCACAATCCTCTACAAGAATTTTTGTGATAAGATCTTTTGGAAAGACTTCTGTTGATTCCTGAGAATTTTCTTTACAAATTGTTGGAGAATGTAAAGTAGGAACTGGTAGGTATACACATTTATTAGATAGACTTTTTGTAACACTATGAATTGGACTAGTAGTTGTAGCAGTACAACATGGAATCAAAAAAGCACCCTGACATGTAAGATCTGCAATATTTGATATAGTCCGATAAAATTTGTATTCAGGATCTAAATGATCCCTTCTTGAATCATATATAATATGTTGTAATGCATCGATAATTAAGAAAACTGGAATTTCTTTCAAATCTTGTTTCTTATTTTTAGCAACCAATTGTAAAACTTCCCATGGATAAGGTGCCTCATAAGTTGAAATAATTTCATCCAAATTCATATCAGGAAGGAGTTGTAATAACATTCGAGTACCAATAGCTTTATAAGTATCAGATTCCACTTGTTTTAAACTAGTACCATTTTCAAAGCTAACATTAAACACTAAAGCATTTTGAATCATATCCTTTAATTTTGAATCATCTTCTTTATTATTTAAACATTTAAGTACTGTATTATGAAATTCAGTAGCATTTCGTGATTTTCCTGTACCAGCACCAGATAAAAAGAAATAAATAGGCATATAAGCCTTATCAAATTTTTCTTGAGTAAAATATCTATAATGATCCTTAATTTCTTTTCGCAATATATTATGTAAAGATGGATCTGGTTGATATTCCCAATTAATACCAATAGTAGAAAGTAAAGGTTTTGGTTTTTGATATATTAAACCTAATAAAGAAAGGAAATACTTTTTATTTTTAATTATAATATAAAAAAATATTAAATTTTAGAATTATTTGATATATACCTTCGGAAAAATCATCTCTTATTCTTAATTTATTAGTTACTAAAAGAAAAAAATCGATATCAATACAAATATTAATTATCATATGTTAAAAACAAAAAATATGAATAAAAAAAAAAAAATCTCAATAATAAAGTTTATTAATACTATAACATATTATTATAACATACCAACAGGTCCATCAGGTAATAAGGAACTTTCTAATAAAGATTCTAAATATTCATATTTATCATCATCTGTTTTGCAATACTTGCTAAGAATTAATTCCGCCTCATATATTTGATTATAATTTTTAGTGAAATGAATATATAATTTCTTTATTTCATGTTCACTAAGTTTAAGTTTAATTAATTCTTCATAAATATTTGTCATTATTAATATAATTGGTTAAAATTTATAATTTTTTTTTTTTTTTTTTTCAGCATCATATGACTTTATGATATGACAATATCAATGAAGAATATATACATATCATGAATAATTAAAATTTTAATTTATAGATTATTTATTTTACTATCAGTATTATGGATCATTGGGATTTTACCACGGGTCCGGAAAAATTATACTAAATGTTTCCAGATTATAAAAAGTTTATTACCAGCTTAACTAGTTATGGTAAATATTATAATATCTTAAAAATATCCAAGTTTTTACTCTTTTACTCCTCTTGTTTAATCAACAATATCTCGATGGTTCGTGATTTTGATGATCAAAAATCTTGAAAGCAAATAATTCCAAAAGTTAAAGTCTAGCAATGAAGTAATATAAATTTTATCGGTTATTTTACATTTGCATCCAACATTATATAACCACAATTAAATTTACAATAAAATCATAATTTATTGTGAAGATATGTACTTTTCCATGAAAAAATTCAATCCAATCTAGATTTGTAAAATGATGTTAAGATTATACTGTATGCCAACGACTTTAAACTGCGGCTTTTGACTGCGGTTATCACAACTTTGGAATAATAACTGTCAATAAAACAATATAAAATCATCAGTGATGAGACAGAAAAGGCAGTAAAATTTTTTCTTTCACAAAATTTTTATGTTTTTAAAAAAGTTTAAGTATTGATAATATATAATATATAAAAAAAAATTATTTAAATTACAAATTAAGAAACGCGCAAAATATTTTACTACTCTAGTCTTAGTGTTGAAATAATTCAAATAAAATTTCCAATATCGTTTGTTATTTTAAAATCCATCTAAAAAAAGAATACATATAAATAATATAAATAAGTAATTAAGATATTATTTATACGATATTAAGAAAAATAGAAAAATATTAAAGAAATTAACCATCGGGAATCTCAAATTCATCTTGATCTTCTGAATGAAGGTTTGGATTATTATGTATTTCGTTATCATCTATAAAAGGATAAAGGTTTTTGATTTAAACATTGCAAAATAAATTGAAAATTTATAGCAAAAAATTTTTACTTGCCATCAACTGATCCTTTCATTTGTTGCATTGTTTCTTTTTTATGAAATAAAATAAATAAATAAGTAAGATTATAATAAATATTGCTTAATAAACAATTAAAACTTAGAATAGTATTACTTACCATTCTTTGAACTTATTTGTAACCTTTTAAATACTTTAGATAATCTTTTACTACCACCTACAATCGAGATAAATTTGTATCATTATTTCAAAAATTTGAATATATAAATAAATTATCTTTAAAAATACTATTTATTTTTGATGTTTTATTAATCTTCTGATCGCTTGAATTATTAAAATCTTCAACTAAAAAACGAAAATTTGATTAATAAATATTTCATCAAATGAAAATCTCAATAAATACCTACTATTATCAGGAATACTAAAATCATATGTTTTGCTATGAAATGCTATTTAAAAATAAGAAAAATAGGTTATAAATTATTACAATAGTTAATAAAATAACAATAAAAAAACTAACCTTCTTGTTCTTCTATAATGTGTATAATCATTTAAATTAAAAAAAAAAATTAGTAACGTCATCATATCAAACAAAAAACTTAGCAAATAATAGTACCTTCTGTTGCATTTTTTGGTTCGGGTAAATTTTTAAATTGATGAACTTTGCTGCTGCTTATATAATTTGTGCTAGTTTTTATTTCAATATTATTGAGTGTTTTTGCCTGAAAAACTTCATTTGGCATATTTTGATATAATAGATGAATTTCATTCATTTTTTCCCGAAGAGATTGTATATCAAGTCTTTTTAATGGATCAGCATCCCAACATTGTACCATTAAATTTTTATATTCTAAAGGAATATCTGATATAATTTCTGGTCTCATACCATTAATTATATCCATTGCAAGATTATAATCATCATGCTTATAATCAATAAATGGTGAATATCCAGATGAAAATTCCCACATAAGTATTGCAATGCTATAAATATCAGATGCAAAAGTATATCCTTTTCCACTAATAACTTCTGGTGCTATATATGGAAGATTTCCATATATACTTTCTGATGATTTATCAACAGGTCCACAAAATCCAAGATCACTAATAAGCCAACCATTATTAAATTTTGAAAACAATATATTTCCTGGATGTAAATCTCTATGAATTGCCTTCTCTTTATGAATCCAATATAGTGCACTAGTAATTTCAAAAGTAATTCTAATTCTTTCTTTCCATGTGAGTCGTTCATTATTTTGTTGTAAATATTTTCTTAAATCCATATCCATTTTCATCATTACAAGCATATAATTTTCATTTGATGGATTTTGTGTCATTCCATAACATCTGACAATGGCTGGCCATTTATTATTTATAGTTAAATGTGATTTAGCCTGTAAATATAAAAACTTTTATTGTAAAACAAAAAATTGGCTAATTTTATAAATACATTTAGAATACAAACCTCTTCAAACCAACTATGATTTGCATTTTCAACATTTTCTAATTTTTTAAGTACTATTTCTGTAGTTCCAAATCTTCTTAATTGTTGTTTTTCGGAATCCCATTCTTCATATTCTCCATCAATCCAATCTGCAGTATAAATTTCGGAGAATCCTCCTTTTGTAAGATATTTAATATTTTGTAAATTACTATATGAAATCCATTCAATTATCACATTTGGTCTAGTTGTTTCCAATTGACATTTCTGTATTAAATTATCAATATCATTATTTCCAGATGTCCAATTTTTAAAATTTGCTTTTAAATAATTTCGAACACAATATTCACAATATAATGTTGCTAAACATTCTTGTTTACAATTTTCACAAATTCTTTTTGTTCCTGAATTAAAAAGAATTTTATCTCGGTCATATTTCTCATCTGTTATTTTTATTGCAAAAGTTTTTTCATCATCCGTAAGTTGTTTATCGGCAAGAATTGTTCGTTTTAGAAATTCATATTGTTTGTGAGCATCAGTGTAAATATTATAATCAATTAACGAATATGCTCTATTAGCTGTTGCATAAACTAATTCGTATCGGATGGTAGACATAATGCAATTTTATTATAAAGGTTTAAAATGAAAACTTTTTTTTAAATAAATACAAATATAAATTGGAAAAACGAAAAATTTTTTTTTTTAAAAAGAAAAAAAATTTAATTTCAAAATTCAGAAACAATTTATAGTGTAACATAAATTTGAATTTTAGTACGATTTGAATGTTATGTAACAGTTATACAAACAAATTTAAAAATAAACACGATAAACTATTTTTAGACATGTTTATCGTTACAATAAATATTTTTACATTTTATAAATAAATACTGTAACTAAAAATACACATGAATGTAAATTAGAGTTTACCGAGAATTCTAAGTGTAAAATTATAAAAACTATAATTTATTAAATTTGATGAAGGAATTAAAAATAATAGAAAATATTGATGATATTGTAATACTTTGTGATTATGATTTGTTTCATATAGTACATGCTGAATTTTTTTTTTGTAAACAAAAAGACCTAAAATCAGTAAACCAAAAATATATACGTACAGTATATTATGTTAGCGGAATAATTGAATTCTCTCATTTCTCTGTAAATTATTTGAAATGAAAATTTTTCTAACAAATTTATTGAAGTTTCTTACGCTATAATTAGTCAATAAAATAGTTAAAAAATTTTAATAATAGTGTTCCTATTTATAAAAAATCCATAAAACTATTACATATTTTACTTTTTTTATATTAAAGATTATTTCATTTAAAGTATTAAACTTATTTTATCTTGTCCTGATCGATAAGATTGGTTGCAAAACTTTAAATATGAAATAGTGAAGTTCATTGAGAAGTGCTATTAAATTTGTCACCCACATCTTCGAAAAACTCATAGTCTCATACAAAAGAAAATTAACTACATGAATAATTATTTTACATTCGAAAAACTAATTTTGTATCATATTTGAATCAATGATATATATTCAGGATCAATCTCAATAAAATATATTTAAAAATAAAAATTATTAATACACTACTTCATATACAATATATGAAAATTACTAAACATCGCCTGGGCGATCATCGCCTTTACCAGCATTAGGATGGAACTTGGGGCAAAATTAAGAATATGAATGTAATTCCACCCAAAATGCCATCCTAATGCTGGTAAAGGTGATGTTTAGCAATACCAAAAAATTATTTACTATTGTTATATGTCAGTTCTTTATGTGCTTAAAAATAAGCGTTAAATTAAATGTAAGCAGAAGGATTAATAGGGTCGGAAATTAACAGGATCAGCGTAAATCTTATACTAATTTTATTAATTCAATGTAAATCCAACGTAAAAATCCGATCAAATGCGAATATGGTATAGCTCTCCAAATAGCCTATACGATCAGACGCAAGTAAAGGATTAAACTAACCAAATATGAACAATGAATAAAAAAATAAAGTGTATAAGAAATAACACGAAAAATAAAGTGTATATGAGTTTTAATAATCAATTTTATTAATGATTTTTATAAAGGACTGTTCTAAAACTAACTTTATTAAATTCTAATTGTAGTTATTTTTTCTAAAGCGCATTTACACCGTCTTTTTATAACAAATTTTTATAAAAAAAAAAATATCTAATATATCGAACAAATCCGATAAATGCTATATATTTGATAAATGTTATATATTCGATAAATGTTATATATTCGATAAATTCGATAAATGCTACATATTCGATATATGCTATAAATTCGATAAATGCTATATATTCGATATATCGAACATGTCGAACATATTCGACATTTACGACATTGATCAACATCACGGGTCCGGTTATATCATGTGATTGCTGCGCGACATTTTACTGCGTAACACTATATGATTTATCATTCCTGTAAATTTATTAAAGGACCATACAAAAAATTTTTTTGACAAATGTAAAGCAAACTAATTATGATTTGCGTATTTTATGGATTTTTGAATTTCACAATAATCCCGAAAAAATACACATAAAAGATCAGGTCTGAGTTTGCGTAGAACACCATTCAAAAAAATGTTTTTATTGAATTAAATGAAATTATTGGATTTTTAAATTATGGTCTAGTCATAGAATACTATCACTAAAATCTACCTTTTTCATCCCTATTTTGAATATCTTGAGACTGCCATTTTGAAGTAAATATACCCATTTTGAACTTTGTAAATAAAACCGGTCAGTCAATTTTTTCACCCTATAAAAAATTTTATTTATTATTTCTGTAAAAATCCCGTAAAAATGTACCTCTCATGGATTCACGTAAATGAAAATAATTGATAGATTCCGTGATATAAGGTTATTAATTAGCTTGGAATATATAAATAAATCAACTTTTTTTACAGGTCATTTTTATAAATAATATAATAATTTGAAAGACATTGTCAAATATAGGTAATTACATAATAGGGTTTTTTAAAAAATGATGAGTAAATATAATTAAATCATTTATTAATATATTGCAATATTAATTAGCAGATACTATTACGCAATGCTGCAAGAAGTTATCAAAATGTCTAGTGATTGGAATCGATTCTATCAAAATTGAATTAATCGAATCATATTGGTTATCAAATAAAAAATCAGCTCAAATTGCAAAATTCCAAATAATATCCCTGTAAAAAATCTGATCTGTGTTTTATCTTTCCATGTTTTTTCCGTGAATGTATCATTTTAATGGAATTTATAGCCTTAAATCATGGAAATTTTCATCTCGCTAACACGGATATCCGTGAATGTATCATTTTCACGGAATTTTTACGGAAGACACGGAGAAATAATGGAAATATTCGGATAAAAATTTTTTATAGGGTATATTAAATATGAATCATAATTGTCTGGAGTGACTCTGGAGTGACTCTGGAGTGAAGCGAAGGACAATATATGTCTAAAATCAAATTTGGTACTGATTTGTATAACAGATCCAAACTATATTCAGATATCCATTCAATTCAGATATCTGAATATCCATTTTTTAACAGACAACCGATAGATTTAATAAATAAAAAAATATTGATTTAAATTTATTAATAAGCTATATTGAAAAAAAAATTATTTAAATTTACAAATTAAGGAACGCATAAAATATTTTACTACTCTAGCTTCAACAAAATAAAATATTCAGTATATAATTAAATTTTAAAATCAATACATATAAATAATAGAGATTAGTAATTATGATATTATTTATACAACATTAATACTATTGAAACTAGCCATCAGGAATTTCGAAAGTTAATGTTTTGTAATTTAATTAATTATTTGATTTTTTATTTAAAAGGATCATATCCTTGGAATCAAAAATCATCACCAAAAATCATCGTTATTATTATTCTTTGAGATCAAAATCAATTTTTTTTTAACTGACCGATTCATCTTAATCTTTTGAATGAAGGTTTGAATTATTATATATTTCGTCATCATCTATAAAAGAAAAAAAATATTTAAACGTTGCAAAATTAAAAATTTTATAGCAAAAGTTTCACTTACCATTAACTGGTTCTTTCATTTGTTGTATTGTTTCTTTTTCATGATCATTTTGAATGTCTATATTTTAAATAAAATAAATTAATCTTGCTTAACAAAACAATTAAATTTTAGAATTATATTACTTACAATTGTTCGAACTTATCTTTAACGTTTCAAATACCTTAGATAAGCTTTTATTACTGACTAAAATTGAGATTTATTTGTATTATTATTATTTGAAGATAATTAAATATATATAAAATATATTACCTTTAAAAATACTACTTATTTTTGATGTTCTTTTAATTTTCTGTTCGTTAAAATCATCAACTAAAAATGAAAAGTTTGTTTAATACATAAATATTTCATTAAATAAAATTTTAATAAATACTTACTATTATCAGGAATTCTAAGATCATATACTTTACTAGTATAAAGTGCTATTTTTTTTTAAAAAAAAACCAAGAAAAAATCAGAATAAATAATAAATTGACAGTAAACAATTATTTAAATTAAAAAAAAAATTAGTAATAATGAAAAAAAATCATCAATATATAAAGTAATACCTTTCGTTGCAATTTTTTGTTCAGGTAGATTGTCAAATTGATAAATTTTACTCGTAAATAATGTTCTACTTGTATAATTTGTACTGGTTTTTATTTCAAAATTATTTATTGTCTTTGACTGAAACAACTCATTTGGCATATTCCGATATGATAAATGAATTTTTCTTATCTGCTCTTCAAGTGTAATAGTATCGGGTCTTTTTAATGGATCAGCATCCCAACATTGTACCATTAAATTTTTATATTCTAAAGGAATATCTGACATAATTTCTGGTCTCATACCATTAATTATATTCATTGCAAGTTCATAATCATCATGCTCATAATCAATAAACGGCGAATATCCAGATGAAATTTCCCACATAAGTATTGCAATACTGTAAATATCAGATTTAAAAGTATATCCATTTCCTTTAATAACTTCTGGTGCTAAATATGGAAGATTTCCATATATACTTTTTGATGATTTATCAGCAGGTCCACAAAATCCAAGATCACTAATAACCCAACGATCATTTGATTTAGAATATAATATGTTTCCGGAATGCAAATCTTTATGAATTGCTTTCTCTTTATAAATATTACTAAGTGCAATAGATATTTCATAAACAATTTTAATCTTTTCTTTCCATGTAAGTTGATTATAATTTTGTTGTAAATATTTTCTTAAATCCGTATCCATCTTTAACATTACAAGCATGTAATTTCCATTTAATAGATCTTGTGTTAAACCAAAACAACGGACAATGCTACCACGCTTACTACTTATAATTAAATGTAATCTAGCCTATAAAAATATAAAACTTTTATTGTAAATAAAGAGTTGGTTAACTTTATAAATAAATTTAAAATACAAACCTCCTCAAACCATCTTTGATTTGCACTTTCAACATTCTCTAATTTTTTAAGTACTACTTTTACACTTCCAAATCTTTTTAATTGTTGATTTTTAGAATCCCACTCTTTATAAAAGCTATTAATCCAATCAGCAGTATAAATTTCGGAGAATCCACCTTTTGTTAGATATTTAATATTTTCTAAATTATTATATGGAATCCATTCAACTATATAATTTGGTCCAATAGTTTTAATTTGACATTTCTGTATTAAATCATCAATATCATTATTTCCGGATGTCCAATTTTTAAAATTTGTTTTTAAATAATTTTGAATACAATATTCACAATATAATGTAGCTAAACATTTTTTCTTACAATTTTCACAAATTCTTTTCGTTCCTGAATTAGTAATAACTTTATCTCGATCATAATTTTTAGTTAATAATCTTATTGCATAAATTTTTTCGTCATCTGTAAGAAGTTTATCAGTAAGAATTGTTTGTTTTCGAAATTCATAATATTTATGTATGTTATTATAAATTTTTAAATCTGTTAATAAAATTATTCTATTTACTGTTGAATTAACTAATTCATATCGAATGTTAGACATAATTGCAATTTTGTTGCTAAAATTTTAAAAAATGAAAAATTTTTTTTTGTTTAAAAAAAAAAAAATAAATATGAATTGAAAAAAAGTGAAAAAAAGAAATTATTTTTGACGATGAACTGAAAGTTACTAAACTCTAAAAAGTGTAACCATATGATCTAATGTTCATGTGGCAATTACACAAACAATTATAAACAACAAAAATAAACTATTTTTAGACATGTTTAACGTAATAAAAAAATATTTTTTACATTTCTAGAAATAAATGACAAAACTAAGGTACAAAATAAATACCTATTATGCAAACAATTACTCGTGCACACGTGACCTCACAACTGCGGCACTATCGCAGCTGAGTTGTCGTTATGATTACTTTGAATTATTTTAATTTGATAATTATATATATATGAATGCAAAAAAAAACTCTTGAAAAATTATGATAATATTATAAGGGATGATTATTCTTAGGTCAGGACCCCGAAATATACATAAAAGGGTCAGGTCAGAGTTTGCGTATAATGAGTCAAAAAAATCATGTAGATCATTCCTTTTATGGATAATCCCAGCCAAAATAATATTTCCTAATTTAGATAATGGCTGAAATTATCGTAATTCCGGCCCTGAAAGAATGCGTATTTTGGACCACTTCTGGACCTGACCTCTACATATATATTTCGGGGTCCTCTTAGGTCCTTAAATTTTAATTTATTCTATTCTATGCACTATGAAAAAAGTTCTAGTTTCAGAACACGCAAATTATTACGAACCATTCAAATGATTTTTCTCATATGTTGATTTATTGTGGCTGAAAATCGGCAGAAGTTCGTGACAATTTACACATCATAATCACAATATGCTTAATTAGTCATATAGTTAATATCATAATAAAAATATTAATAGTGGCCATTTTGACCATTTTATCTAATAATCGAAATAAAGTTAGTGTAAAATATATAAAACGTTATGAATTATTAGCTGATGTGATATAAAATTATTGACAATAATTATGGACTAAAAAAAGTTTAATTGATGCATAAATAATTATGTCACCTACAATTACACTGAAATCGAATCACATTAGTGACATTACCACCGCGATTATTAAATTAATCATGTATAAATAAAAGTCTAATATAGAAAAAAATTAAAAAATTTAATGATGCGAATATGCGATGCAAAATAAAAATTTATTAATTATAACTGATGCAAATAATTATAACTCATGCAAAAAATAATTATTATTACATGCAGAAAAAATATTACTCTTTGTATCGATGATATCAATACATGAAATTTATTTTTGATACTTAATAGTTATTCGGCACTTCGGAGCCCGAGATCAACTGATCAAATTTGATTCCCAATATAACAAGCTACCTTTAGGTAGCGTTAGTTATTCGGTTCGAAGTGCCGAATAAGTGATTTATCTGGTATCCCGTGATTTAATATTGCCTGATACACGAATTTTTGCCTGATACACGAATTTTTTGCCTGATACACGAATTTTTGCTTGATACACGATTTATTATAACCATTTTTAATTATAAAAAATCACGTAATACCGGATGAAATACATTATTTATTATTAGAAAAAGTTCGTTACATTATTATAGAAACAAGTCAAAATACTGTATAAAATGTTTGAATGATAATAAATATTTAGAGATTTATGAGAATTGGAAATTCTTTAAAACTAAAGAATTTAAAAGATTATAAGTGAATATTTCGTTGTTTTTTAAAAATTCTTTACTAATTTATAATAACTTGGTTTTAATTATTACTAATATTTTTATTTTTTTCTGGAATATTCTTATTTTAATCTTTACCACGATATTTCTTATCGTCCCTTTCTCATTGACTTTTTTTCTTTGTTTTTTTTTCGATTTAATATATAAAAATATTGATTCAGATTTATTGATAAGATATAATATTAAAAAAAAATTATTTAAATTACAAACTAAGAAATCGTGTAAAATATTTTACTATTCTAACCTTAGTGTTTAAATAAAATTTTCAATATTATTTACTTATAAATATAATTTTAAAATCCATCTAAAAAAAAAAATACATATAAATAATATAAATTAGTAATTAAGATATTATTTATACAATATTAATATTAAGAAACTAACCCTCGGGAATTTCAAATTCATCTTGATCTTCTGAATGAAGGTTTGGATTATTATGTATTTCGTCATCATCTATAAAAGGACAAAAATATTTAATTTAAATATCGCAAAATTAAAAAATTTATGTCAAAAAATTTTATTCACCATTAACTGATCCTTTCGTTCGTCGCATTATTACTTTTTTATGATCATTTCGAATGTCTATATTATTAAACAATTGATCAATCAATATTGCTTAATGAACAATTAATATTTAATATCATATTACTTACCATCCTTTGAACTTATCTTTAACGGTTTAAATACCTTAGATAATCCTTTATTAATGCCTAAAATTGAGATATAATTGTGCCATTATTATTTAAGGGATAATTAAATAAATATATATATAAATAAATTACCTTTAAAATTACTACTTATTCTTGATGTTTTATTAACCCTTAGATTGCTTGAATTATTAAAATCATCAACTAAAAAATGAAATTCGTTCAATAAATATTAACAATAAATGAAACCTTTTTAATAATACTTACTATTATCAGGAATACTAAAGTCATATACTTTACTATAAATTGCTATTTATAAAAGAAAAGTCGTTTAAAAGTTGTTATAATAATTTGATAAAATGATAATCTTAACTTCTTGTTCCTCTAACAAAATATAAAAAGTAGTACCTTCTGTTGTATTTTTTCGATCAAGTAAATTGTCAAATTGATAAATTTTACTTGTAAATAATCTGCTACTTGTATCACTAATTTTTATTTCAATATTATTTAGTTTTTTTGCCTGAAAAACTTCATTTGGCATATTTTGATATAATAGATGAATTTCATTCATTTTTTCCCGAAGAGATTGAATATCAAGTCTATTTGATGGATTATCATCCCAACATTGCTTCATTAAACTTTTATATTCTAAAGGAGTGTCTGACGCAATTTCTGGTCTCATGCCATCAATTATATTCATCGCAAGCTCATAATCATTATGCTCATAATCAATAAATGGTGAATATCCAGTTGAGATTTCCCACATAAGTATTGCAACACTATAAATATCAGATTTAAAAGTATATCCTTTTCCATTAATAACTTCTGGTGCTATATATGGAAGATTTCCATATATACTTTTCGATGATTTATCAGTGGGTCCACAAAATCCGAGATCACTAATAAACCAACGATCATTATATTTTGAATATAATATGTTTCCAGAGTGCAAATCTCTATGAATTGCTTTTTCAAGATGAATGAAAAAAAGTGAATCAATTATTTCAAAAGCAATTCTAATTTTTTGTTTCCACGTAAGTTGATTATTAATTTGTAAATATTTTCTTAAATCCATATCCATTTCCATCATTACAAGCATATAATTTCCATTTGGTATATCTCTTGTTAAACCAAAGCATTTAACAATGGTAGTATGTTTATTGTTTATAGTTAAATGCGATTTAGCCTATAAAAATTTAAGAATTTTATCGTTTAATATATAAAGAATGATTCAATTTTATAAAATAAATTAAAAAATATATATATACCTCCTCATACCAACTTTGACTTGCACTTTCAACATTTTCTAACCTTTTAAGTATTACTCTTATAGTTCCAAATCTTTTTAATTGTAGATTTTTAGAATCCCATTGTTTATAATATCCATTAATCCAACGTGCAGTATATATTTCAGAAAATCCACCTTTTGTTAAATATTTAATATCCCTTAAATTTTTATATGAAATCCATTCAATTACTTTACTTGGCATAAGTGTTTCTAATTGACATTTTTGTATTAAATTATCAATATCATAATTTCCTGATGTCCAATTTTTAAAATTTAATTTTAAAAAATTTTGAACACAAAATTCACAATATAATGTTGCTAAACATTCTTGATCACAATTTTCACAAATTCTTTTTATTCCAGAATTTGAAAGAACTTTATTTTGATCATAAAACTCATTTATTATTCTTATTGCTAAAGTTTTTTCATCATCTGTAAGAATTTTATCATCAAGAATGAATTGTTTACGAAATTCAAATTGTTTATGCATATCAGTACGAATATTATAATCAGTTAACGAACATGCTCTACTAACTGTTTCATTAATTAATCCTCTTCGAATAATAGTAGACATAATATAAAAATTTTATTATAAAAAGTTTTTAAAAGGAAAAATTTTTTTTGTTTATTTTATTGTTAAAATATTTAAATTGAAAAAATGAATTTTTTTTTTTTTTTTTCAAAAAATCCGAAGTGTAACATAATAAATTTGTTGATCATGTTATGTAAACTAGGGATAGGCATCATGCACATGATGCCCCACCCATGCAGTCATGATTCATACACGTGCATGACTGCGCATCAAAATGGGATTATTAAATTATTTTAAAATCAATGAAATTATTTTCAATAAAAATTATTATCAATAATGCCACTATCAGATCCATTTAATATGGTCATGTTTTAATCAACTAGGACATGAAAAGAAACGAAATCGGTTAACTAATGAACGGGTATTAAAATTGGTATACATTTATAGCAATTATAAAATTAATTGTCCGCGACAAGAATTACATCCTGATATAATGGAAATATTAACAGAAGATGAAAGTGAAGAATTATTACAAAATGATTCAGATTATGAAGTAATTGATAGTGAAGAATAGAAAATGATGAAACGGACAATGAAGATGAAAAAAAACAACTGAAAAAAATCATGTAAAATTACTATTATTGTAAAATTTCCATATATTCGATAATACAAATAAATTACGTAAATTATAAAAAAAAAAAGTTTATAGTATGATCGCAAAATGCTGCATCACATGTATCAATTGCATCATGTTGCATCATGCGCATGATATGACCATCTCTATATGTAACAATTAAATAGTGCAACTGCGTTAATTGTGTTTTGATTTTGTTAAGAGTATTAAAATAAACGGTACAAAACTATTGATTGATACAAAAAATTACAAAATAAAAAAAGAAAAAACTGGCTCCCCAGCATTACCGAAGTAAAACTATTAATGTTGGTTAACATATTTAGAAATAATTGTGTTGATCGAAATGTAACTTTTATTAAAACATGGGAATGATATTCAGCAATTTTTTCCGAAAGTTTTATACAAATACAGTAATGTACAGTAAAGTACGTCATAATGTAGCACTAGTTACGCTAAATTTAGCCATCAAATCAAAAGATTTTTGTGGAGATTTAATTAATCATCATACCAACATACTGAATTTTTAACATTCTTTCAATAATTTTTCAGCTGCTTTTAATTTATCATTGGAGGAATTTTTTATTAAAAACTTCAACAGATGATTAAATTAAATACAAAAATGTTAATGCAAATAAGGAATACTATACCAATTATGATTATTTAAAAGGAAAAGCTAAAAAAGTCTATTAGTAGTTTAAAATTGCATACGGGACGCTAGTTTCCGTGGTACGGTTCCGCCATGATGATCAATGATATCAACGGCTTCCCGTGAAATAACTAGAAATGGTAAAATTTTTTTTTTTTAATATTACTAGATGACTTATTGGTGAACAGTCCTACTTTTAGGGCACGGTTTTTGCCAAAACGGTTCAGTTTTTAACGTTTTCGCAACGTTTTTTATTAAAAAAACGTGCGAATACGTGAAATTATTAATAAAAAACGTTTTTGCAACGTTTCCTATTAATAAAATAATTAAAAAAACGTGCGAAAACGTTTTTTTTAATTAAATTGCTTTAATAAAAAACGTTGCAAAACGTAAATTACTTAATAAAAACGTTTTCGCAACGTTGTTTGTTAAAATAATTAAAAACATTTGCGAAAAACGTTTTTTATTTGTTAAATTACATGTTAAAAAACGTTTCGAAACGTTCTTTAATGTTTTAGCATAATTTAGAGGTCTTAAAATCATTTCTTAAATTTAAATCGGTCCGGTCCAGATTGAAAGACCAGTCTTTTTGGGACCAGACCGGACCGATTCAACCCTACTTAAATCCTGTAATGATAAACTAAACTTTTTTTTTTTTTTTTTTTTAAATAACTAAGAGCATAAAATATTTTCATAAATCAAATGTATCATTTTAAATTACAATTAATTTTTTATAGTAACACCTTGTTAGTCTGAAGCGTAACGAAGGACTATATACTTCTACGCTTGATGACGTCATGTCCAGATGTCCNTATAAGTGAGTGATAAAACTTTGTGTAACATAAACACTTTTTTATAAGCAAACTACCTTTACAATTGAGAATTTCCTAAGATTTCCTCTGGAAATCGCTAATAATTGATCTTTTCCTACATAGTTATTCAGAAAAATTCTGGGTTTTCGCAAATTTTTGGAAATCGATTTCCTTAGGGGTGACATACAGGGGTCCCACTAATTTGAAAACAGCGATAATTAACTAAGAGCATAAAATATTTTCATAAATCAAATGTATCATTTTAAATTACAAATTAATTTTTTATAGTAACACCTTGTTAGTCTGAAGTGTAACGAAGGACTATATACTTATGCGCTTGATGACATAATGTCCAGATGTCCGTATAATTCCCAATTATTCCGCTCATCCTAGAAACTGAACCTATGTTCCTTAGATGACAGATTTCGTAATTTAATCACTACTTCGGACCTTCCGTTATCCTAGTTTATTGCCAAATGATATAGTTGATTAATTGGTGGATGAACATAAAGTCATTAAATATTTGTAATAAAGATTATTTCATTTTATTATTATTTTATAAATAATTATCTTGACAGTAAATTTGGTTTAAACCTGATCAAACCAGTCGCTGACAAGCGTTTAAATTTAATTTTACAGAAATCGTAGAATGCCTGTCATGCAAAAATAACGAATTAATTAGCGAGTTAATGAACAATTACTATTAAGTCATTATAAATGAAATGCAATCATATGAAATTTGCTTATACTGTTGTACTAGTATACAATTTCCTGTTTCTGAGTTTATTGTCCAAAGCGTTATCGAAGAACTTTCCATTCTACTCATGCAATGTCTGTCCGTCGCGCTACGTGTATGGCCAATAAAGTTTATGAAACGATTACAGTAATAACGTAGTAACAAAAACAATAAATTACAATGGGATTTTAGAATCAGACGTAACGCTTGTGTAGAAACAAAATATAAATGTTACATATTAATTTTTGTACCGAATTATAAATTATAATAATAAATATCATTGGCTTTTTAAAGTGGTAATAAATATTTTTATCTAAAACTGCATCTTTTAACTATACATTTTTTAGCAATACATTATTTTTAACTTTAGCAATACATATTTTTTGTAGACAATTTCAATTTCTTGTGATAAGTAATTGATCACGATGATTATAATGCTTCGGATGCTTCAACAGTTACTGTTTCCTAGTAATTATGTATGAATTATAAAAAAAAAAGAATTGCAATTTATAATGTTACGAAAAATATTTAATTTATTAATAAGTTCAATATAGTACTAGTTTTGGTTTAAAACAGGCTAAGTTGTTTATAGAAATCAGGCTTATAAGAAATTGAGTTTAATGTTATAATGTTAGTATATTTTACAATTAAGACTTGATTTACTCAAAAAGGTTAGTATGAGATTCTTAATTTATTTTGTTTGATGCTTTTCTTAACTCATTATAGAGTGAGAATTTCAATAAAACTTGATAGTAATGTAGAAATATTATAATTTCAAATAATACGAAAGTATTCATCTATTCTGCTTCATATAATATAAATTATTTTTATTTTATTTACTAATTTTAAAGCTTTTTTTTACAAGAAATTTTTCTATGTAATTTCATGTATCACTAATTCAATAATCACTACTACTGTCAATGTTATTTTTAAATTTGTCATCACAATCCGGTAACTTCCTACTTTAGTATTCACGCTATCTTCTATTTTTAGTTTTTTTTTTTTAAAATAAATATTTATTTATAGGGATGATCAACAAGCATATCTAAAAATAGTTTATTTTGTTTATCTTTTAAAATTGTGTAATTGTCACATGACATTATTCTGCTGATCATACAAAAAATTCGAATTTATGGTTACACTATTCGGGAATTTTTTGAAACTTAAATTTCGTTGTCAAAAATTCCTTTCCCAGTTCATATTTTTTTTTTTATACCAATAAAAAAATTTTTCTTTTTAAACTTTTGTAATTAAATTGCATTATGTCTACCATTCGATATGAATTAGTTAATGCAACAGTTAATAGAGCATATTCGTTAATTGATTATAATATTCACACTGATATTCACAAACGACATGAATTTAGAAAACAAACAATTCTTGCTGATAAACTTCTTACAGATGATGAAAAAACTGAAGCAATAAAAAAAATAACTAAAGATTACGACCGAAATAAAATTCTTCAAAATACGGGAACAAAAAGAATTTGTGAAAATTGCAATCAAGAATGTTTAGCTACATTATATTGTGAATATTGTATTCGAAATTATTTAAAAGGAAAATTTTCACATTGGACATCTGGAAATGATGATATTGATAATTTAATACAGAAATGTCAAATGGAATCACTTATGCCAGATGTGATAATTGAATGGATTCCATATAATAATTTAATAAATATTAAATATCTTACAAAAGGTGGTTTCTCCGAAATTTATACTGCAGATTGGATTAATGGATATTATGATGAATGGGATTCTAAAAAACAACAATTAAAAAGAATTGAAAGACCTGGAATGCAAAACTTGGTAGCAAAAGTAGTACTCAAAAAATTAGAAAATGTTGAAAGTGCAAATCAAAGTTGGTTTGAAGAGGTTTGTATTCTAAATGTATTTATAAATTAGCCAATTGTTTGTTTTACAATAAAGAATTTTTATATTTACAGGCTAAATCACATTTAACAATAAATAATGAATGTACAGAAATTGTCCGATGTTATGGAATGACACAAAATCCATCAAATGGAAGTTATATGCTTGTAATGATAAAAATGGATACAGATTTAAGAAATTATTTACAACAAAATAATGAACGACTCACATGGAAAGAAAGAATTAAAATTACTTTTGAAATAACTAGTGCAGTATATTGGATTCATGATGAGAAGGCAATTCATAGAGATTTGCACTCTGGAAATATATTATTTTCACAATTTAATGATAGATGGTATATTAGTGATCTTGGATTTTGTGGACCTGCTGATAAATCATCAAAATGTATATATGGAAATCTTCCTTACATAGCACCAGAAGTTATTAATGGAAAAGGATATACTTTTAAATCTGATATTTATAGTGTTGCAATACTTATGTGGGAAATTTCATTTGGACAACCACCATTTGTTAATTATAAGCATGATGATTATAATCTTGCAATGGATATAATTAATGGTATGAGACCAAAAATTATGTCAGAAATTCCTTTAGAATATAAATCTTTAATGGAACAATGTTGGGATGCTAATCCATCAAAAAGACTTGATATTGTATCTTTTAATGATAAAATAAGAGAAATTCATTTATCATATCAAAATATGCCAAATGAATTATTTCAATCAAAAGCAAAAAGTAATTTTGAAACAAAAACTAGTACAAATTATACAAGTAGTAGCAAATTATTTACAAGCAAAATTCATCAATTTGAAAATTTACCTGAACCAAAGAATGCAACAGAAGGTATTGTTTATAAGATTTTTTTGTTTATTGATTATAAGATATGACATTACTAATTTCTTTTTTTAATTTAAATGTTTATAGAAGGACAAGAAGGTTGATATTTTTTATTGCTATTTTCTTAACTATTATAATAATTTTTTAACCATTTTAAATAGCATTTCATAGTAAAACATATGACTTTAATATTCCTGACAATAGTAAGTATTTATTAAAATTTCATTTGATGAAATATTTATTAACCAAATTTTCATTTTTAGTTGAAGATTTTAATAATTCAAACGATCAAAAGATTAATAAAACATCAAAAATGAATAGTATTTTTAAAGGTAATTTATTTATATATCCAAAATTTTTGAAATAATAATACAAATTTATCTCAATTATAGCCAGCAGTAAAAGTTTGTCTAAAGTATTTAAAACTTTAAAAATAAATTCCAAGAATGGTAAGTAAAATAAATTTAAATCTTAGTTTATTGTTTATGCAATATTTAATAAAATTTTATTTATTTTATTTAAAAAGATATAGAAATTCAAAATGATTATAAAAAAGAAACAATACAACAAGTGAGAGAACCAGTTATTGGTAAGTAGAATATTTATTATAAATTTTTAATTTTGCAATATTTTAATTAAATAAGTACTTTTTTTTTTTTTTTTTTTTTTTTTTTTT